GGAAAGCCTTGCAGACAAGGGCATATCAGAAAGAGCTCAAGAAATCATCCTTCAATCTTGGAGACAAGGGACTCAGAAACAATATAAAATATACTTACAAAAGTGGCAACTACATGTATTTTGCAGTAGACGGAATGTTGATTCCCTTCAACCCACTATAGCAGATTGAAGTAATTAATTTCCTCACAGAGCTCTATGAATCCGGCCTTGGGTACAGTGCTATGAACACAGCACATAGTGCTCTATCAGCAATTATTATTCTTGATGGACATGTAAAGGTGGGCTCGCACCCATTGGTCAGTCGGTTTATACATGCCGTGTACCAAACYAGACCGTGTCTACCGAGGTATCAGTYTACATGGGACACATCTATTGTTCTATCTTATTTAAAAACACTACCTACCCTAAGATTGAASGATCTTACGTTAAAGTTGGTTATGTTGGTTGCCTTGGTAACAGGCCAGAGAGGACAATCTATTCATCTGATGAACATTCAGAGGATGACTCAAACAACCACGGAGTTTAAGTTTGTTATTTATGATCTTGTTAAACAATCTGCTCCTGGGAGAGCACAACCTGAACTCATACTACMCGCGTATAAAGCAGATCAACGCCTTTGTGTTTATAGTGTACTTTTGGAGTACTTAAACCGTACCAAGCCTCTCAGGGGCTTAGAATCCAGATTGTTCTTAAGTTTTATCAAACCCTACAAAGCTATATGTAGAGATACCATTGCTAGATGGGTCAAGACTGTTATGATCAATGCAGGTATAGACCMTCAGATTTTCAAACCACACAGCACAAGATCTGGTTCATCTAGCAAGGCGTTTGCATGCAATGTACCTCTTAGGTCTATTTTACAAGCAGCTTCATGGAAAACTGATTGTTCATTTAACAAGTTCTACAACAAGCCTATTGACAAGGAGTCRCAAAGTYATGGCTTGGCCATTTTATCAAACAACACTTMATACTTATGTTTGTTGCCTTTTTATGCTAGRAACAGTTGTTTGTATCCATTGTTTCATGTTTAGAAATAAAACACAATGGCCTTACAAGGGTTTCATTCATTTGTTACCTTACTAAAGTCCATATTACTTTAAAATCTCATGGGATCCCTGCTGGATGACCTGGTAGAATTGAAAATTAAACRAGACTTACCTGGAAGTTGAAGTTTGATTGGAGTTCTACCAGGTCATCATGCAGCAGGGATAACATGCCTGCCTCTGTGGGTTTTTTCTTTTTCCCACCCTTTCTTGATCACCCTTCTTGCGTGCGGGTGATTTTTTATTCTGTACCTTTTTTATGGGTTTTTCTTTACTCTAGTCAATATGGACATTTAGTGCTTTTRATATTGATTAGTTATGCGCATGCGCACATCTCATGTTATCCCTGCTGCATGATGACCTGGTAGAACTCCAATCAAACTTCAACTTCCAGGTAAGTCTCGTTTAATTTTCAAGTTTCAAAGAGAGTTTTAACGTACTCAGAAGATGCAAGAACAAATCCGAATGCCTAATTTACGAAATGCTGTACATGTACATCAAGAACAAAGAACCACCTCTGAATACACAATCTGACTCAATTAAGTCAAAAGTATTCTAAAATAACGTTTTCCCCAGAGACATTTTAATATCTGTAATATATTCAATAACATACAAAGCTAGTGATCGATCTAATAAAGTATTCTTGAAAATGACGCGCGTCGAAACGTCGAAAACTCTTGTTGTCCTAACTTGTTTAACCAAACTTATTAAGCACAAACAACTAATTTATATAATACTGATATTTATTTAACCGAACAAGTTAGTGGCTTAAAATGTTTTGTATAAACCAAGATAATCTATTAGATTATCTTGGTTTATACAAAACATTTTACCCTCGTCAGGGTCTATATACTTAAGTTACCATAGAATGCCAATAAAAGTTTTCATCTTTAAAAAGAAATAAAATATGTTTTGCAATATAAAGTCTTACCTTTAGTTATCATCTCACTCGTATAAGATGCACTTTTGGTTAAAATTTTCCCAAACAAACCTGCAAAGTTAGTTGCCCTGTACTATTATCTACCCATCACCACTTGCGATCAACATTTCCCACAGGAAGACCAAAATAGCAAAAACTAACCAAAAAACCCCTCATTATCACACATATTTTCTAGAATTTATTTTTTTGGAAAAAGGTGTAAGTACTATTCCTAAACTACATTATCTGATAAACGTTTTTCTTTTTATCGTTTTAATGCTCTAAATCGGAAAACAAAATTTGCATAATTTAGTCTTTCCGGCGCAAGCATACTACTACCATTTGGGCTCGCGATTGGTTGCCACTACTCTATATTGTAGCTTGCTGCCGACGGATGAGGATAAATTTCAGATGGAGCCTTGGCAATATAGTGCAWTGCAGTCAAAATTCTCGTCGCTGCTTCAGATTTTGAGTAACACGTCTATTAGAAAGAGGTAAGCTCAACTTAAGTTAATTAAAACTGATCAGATCGTTACCTCAAGTTTAATTATTCTCAGTTTTTTTCTGCTTTTATTAACAAAACCCTAGCTGCACAAAATTTAGCACAAAAGAGCCTGATTTCCTTTAATTGATAACAAATATAAGCTTAAACTCAAATTTGAATATTYTTCGTAAGTAATTAATCTTACAATGTTTTCCAAAACCATCCGACAAATTAATATACTTGTTATTTTGGAACACTTGAGGTTCAATCACATACTCAAATTGAGAGAAGTCACGTACATTAAGCTTACGTACATTTTGTTCCTTGTCTATCGAGTGTTGTATTTTTAGAGAAAGGAGCCGAGTCAAAAAAGAGGTTGCCTGTCCTTTTCATCTTTCTATAAGAATGACACAGAAAGGCCAAGAAGTTGCACTCTAAAATGACATGACAATAATAATGGACCTTTTCGCGGTTGAAACCAAAGCGGCAATATTTTTGCTGCATCCCTCAAATGAACTAGAGTGCCAAGTAATATCATATCAAAATCATGACTTTTTGACCATCAAAACTTATTTTTTCCTAGCGAGGATTTGCAACAGGGTTATTAAATTACCCATAATACTTTGTATTTGTCATATGGTTCAATATCAAGGAAGAAACAAGTTTGCTGATGTCAATTATATTTTGTCTCTTACTGTCCTCTTACTGTGTTATTTAGTGCAATTTTGTTCAATGGAAGAATGTAGGTTTTGCTTCACCAATAAAAGAGCTGACTAGTTGGTGTCATATACATGTATCTGTTGTTTTTGTGACCTTTGTATATTTTGAATAAAAAGAGCCAAAGATCTTTGCTAAACTAATTTCTCTAGTAAGTATATTATCAATTATGCACTTCATACTATACAACTTCACACTGTCACAGCAAAATGTTTGATCTTCAGCATTTGTTGCATTACAAAAATCAARATTTCTAGTGTATGGAAGTCATCAAGGTATTTGAAATTTTAGGAACTCAATAAATTTAGCTTTTAGTTATCCACATGCAAAGCAAAGTTTACAGTTGGAGAAGTGTTCTTTTTCAACAAAGATTATTCTACACCTTGATAAATGACTTTTAAAGTGGAGAATACTATCAAAACAAAGATAATAATCCAAAGATTCACTGGAAGAAATGATTCCAGATATATATAAAACAAATTGTTGATTTCTTCACAAGAACAATATTATATATTTGTAGGCTTTTATCAGGATCAACTCAGATTTAGTACACAATAGTTAACTCATAGACATTCACACACAGGCATTGTTTACATCTCTGTGCAGGGAAAGCAACATAGTTTCTAACTAGAATTTTTTTCGATTCACACAATAATTAATTGGTCTTAATTACATATGCTAGACTAATACACAAACGTTGTTTACGTTTTTGAGAAGGGAAAGCAATCTAAAGTCAATATTCTCTATATTCTTTCCACATTTAAACACTCACAAAATTAAATAGATAAATAAATAGATAATAATAATAACAARTGTATAAATGTTGAATACTCGAGTATATGAATTCAAACAAGGGGTGATTTCATTGCACATGCACGATACTCTTGAGCTATTTAATGGTATATCGCAGTGTGACTGACGTGGAGAAGATAAATGACGACTGAAATGTGGTCAAAACCCTACTTTGTCATTGTTATATCAGGGACCACGGAGMRTGAATTTGTTTGGGGGGCTAGCRGYGACGAGGTACTAGGGAGGTTAGAAAGTTTTTGAAATCTTAACCTTTGGAAATGTCATTTCCAGCGTTTTGGGGCATTATCCAAGACATTTTTACCGCTCACACACACAGCGATATTATCAATAAAATCTCAAAGACTTAATCAATAAAATCCCAAAGACAAAAATTCAATTTTAATTGTTCATGCTCAGTTTTTGCACAATGTTTATAGAATATGTAATTTTGTACAACTATAAATGAAACCTCCATGGGGAAGTGACTAAAAACTTACATATGGTGGTCTGGAACGTGAATAACAAAGTTGTGACTAATGTGTTATTTTGTAAATAGTTAAATTGGGTAGCATGCGATTCATTTTTAAATGAAAAAGCRCGTTTTAAATGTTATATATTACTGGTCTATCATCATTTCTCTCGCCAGGAGGTGCTTAAGGCCTGCACTCTATTTTTCCACTCAGCTCTGTTCTTTGCTGCTGTTTTGGTTTCATCCCAGCTCCTCCACCCTACCCTGTTCTGCTCTTTTAGCACTGTACTYCTCCATGTTATCTTTTGTTTCCCCTTTGCACTGCTTCCCTTTGGTGGTGTCCACTCCCAAGGCTGTCAAACAGTCATTTTCTCTCTCTCCCCTAAGTATATGCCCAATCCAATTTCATCTTCTTCGGTGTATTTTACTGCTAATGTTCTCACCTTCTCCCACTTCCCTGACCCTCTCATTTGAAATCTTCTCCCACCATTTAACATTATTTAATCCTCAGGATCCAGTTTTTCTCATCATTGGTCAATTTCCATAAATAATAACAAAACAGGTTCAACTAGCAAGTCGAACATTTTTAGTTTCATCTTCCTTCCAATTCCTTTGACTGACCAGACCCTACCTAAACTAGTTTTAAACACACCACGAGATTTCTGAATAYGGTTGGCAATGTCCTTATCTCCACCTCCTTCTGTATCTACTGTTGCTGCTAAGTATGTAAACTCATCACTAGTATCCTCAACCCAGTGATAGCTGTACAAAATTATTCCCTGAAGAGAGACGAAACACGTATGAAATTAAAAACGTTTACAGCTATTCTAAGAGTTCTCCTTATGCTGAGTGCTTCTCACTAGTCATAGYTGAAAAATTAAAAAAATAATTTTCCAATATTTGAATCATTTTTGTTGATGGGGGTCCTGAATTTTTCCCATCAATGGGAAAGGGGGCTCCCGAAAAAAAACTAATGCTATCAAGGGGGGTTCTGAAAATTTTTGTCAACTAAAAGCCTTTTCTCCTCACCCCCCCCCCCCACAATTGCAAAATACAAAATGGCCCCTTGTTATGAATCCAGTTTCCTGCCATTCAATTTTTTTTCCATTTTTCCTTATGCTTTTCAACCATGTTGTTCTTTTTAGCTATTTTGTATTCTATATTTCTATTTTGGCTTAATCAAAAACATTGTAAACTAGGCCTTCATTTCATTTTATAAATTAATTTGGTTTATTTTTACCTAATTTTCAGTTTAAGTTGGTCCAGTAAACAGCAGGAAACTGGGGATATGAATCAAGTATACAATGAATCATCCAGAATTGGAACTAAGCGGAAGCTAAATTGTATTGATACGGACTCCACATATCATGTGAATGTGAGTATGCAAAAAAACATCAGAATGCAAAGAGGTTGATATGATGGGAATTCTGTTGTTTTCTATTGTCTAATCTATATTGTTGTTCAGTGTTATTTGGTAAGTACTAACGAATGCAGTAAGATGTAATTCAGATSATTGGTCTGCAAAATCTGGCCRCACGTATCTTTCTAAGTATCTACTTTTTTTATGCTAATCAATGCTCTCAGCAAAGAATCCWGCACGCTAAAGTGTTAAATAGAGCTCTACCGTAACAGTGGAACACTACAGTTTATTTTTTTTATCATGTAGGTATCTCTCATTTTCTTGACAAAATAAAAAAGAATTTGACTGTTGCATCCATCAAGATAAGTTTTACATGGACACTCATATTTCATATATGTGCTCATTATTATTCAAGAGGCTACAATTAATGACTGTTCTAGAATATCAAATTAAAACATTAAAACCAAATAAATCACTGCACACTAGGAAATCTARATTCTCTGGACTTCTTAACTTTATCACTCCAATATACAATAGAAAAACTGAGGAGGGAAGAACTTTTCTCGTCAAAGCTATTACAAGTGGAACAATTTAGATGTCAATATTCAGAATTCAAAGTACCTACAATCAAATCTTTGTCAGAAACTTCTAAATAAACAAAAAAATTGTCACATTTTAATCCATAATATTTATATAATATTTTTTAAGATAAGTTATCATAACAAATATTTTATTATTTTGTCATTTTTTAAGAATTAAGTAGTATATATAGATAATAGATATAATAGATAGATTTTATTAGTTATTTTCTCATTATATTTATTTATTTTGTGAATTATAGTTTTTTATAATGTATTCAGACTTTTATTATATGACTTGGATAGTACAYGCATTCTGATTGGCTCACGCGAGGGCGATATTTTGCCATCTCCGAYCGATTACCATGACAACGGTCCGAAAGTCATATCCCGACCGCCCGTTTGTTGACATTTTTCAAGGCGCGAGATTTGATTTTTTACTCGGGGTTCCTGTGGAACCCAGAGTTTAAATTTCGGGCTTCTTATTTTTTTTTTCTT